GCAGCACCCAACTGATGCGGAAATAATTCATCTCCGCATGTTCTCTATTCCGAGAGGAGAGCAGTGTTCCGAGAACAAAGCTCGTGCAAAATTCTTAACCTCGAAAAGCTAATTTAGTACAGGGATGATAACCTGATCATGTTTACATAAATATGGGTAAAAATCAATTGAAAAGACGGGCAACAGACTTACTAGTGGGTTTTGAATAGATTATTAATGAGGTTGTACAAGTGACCGTTAATTGCCTTTTATCCTAAATTGAATCATTTAAGCACGATGAATTTTTTTATTTATTATTATTATTTTTTTTGTCATTATTGAGAAGAGAAAGAGAAAAAAATTCAGGGCGTGGATTATTTTACGGAGTGACGTGGAGCGAGTTATTTCCCAGAGAAACCTTAGAGGAGAAGTAGGTTAAATTGCATATTTATGTATTTTAGAGTATTTTGAGGCTTACAGTGCCCGTAAAATAGCAGTATTGCTCTCTATTAGCTAGATTACAAAGATAGTAATACTGGCAGACTGTATTCACAGGGTATCGAAAGCTTCAAACCACGAAAAACTACAATTTAACAAGTCGACGTCAGTGTTGTGAGATGAATTGGAAGTTGTTGTTTTGAGACTTTTCCAGTTAACACTTTTGTTTTGTTAAGCTTTGCCTTTTTGCGCCTACGTGTTGTTTTGGTAGATTTATATTTTTTTGGCTCAGCTCGAGGATTTCCTTGTTACCGTGTTAGACATTTAGACAGTAAGACAGTTTCACAGGTGGTTGCTAACCTCACTACATCAGATTCAACCGAGAGAATTCTCGGCAAGACGAATGAGCCGCAGATACACCTTTCACGGACAAAACCAAAAAAACACTTCCGTTTCATATCAAACTGAATGCCACCGGTTCAGTCTTCCATTGTCCTTCAGAGCCACTTGGAAAATTGTCATAACACAACTTGCAAACTGTATCTTAGCTAAAAAATACTTTGTAACGCATTGAGATCACGGCTGTAAAAGAGTTGAAACAAACTCTACTTTAAACCTTACACAAGCGAGTCATCAACAGACATCATCAATAAGACAGCGAAAACAGAAGAGGCTGAAATGCAACTCAACAACAGAGTTCATTTCATTTCAAACCTATCAAAGCAACGATGTTAAAAAACACGTAGGAAAAGGTTTATGAGATCATTGACCAAATACATCGGGGAAACACTTTGACGGCTTGACTTGGATATGGCTTTCACAAACTCCCAATATCCACCTTGATATGTTAGGGTGCGCGATGCACTCTGGACTACTCAATAAAGACACACGAGTTCTCATCCAATATGGCGTCCTGTATTGCATAATAACTTGGTGTCAGGAGTGGGATTGCCTTTACGCCCCATCCCTTGCCTTAACTCCTTCAAGCGACGGAATCTACGAGGTTTCAATTCAGACGTACACTCTCGACGACCTCTGACCGAGAAACGACCTCGTAAGAACCAAATATGGCCGAAGGCAAGCCACCAAACCTTTCGTTCCGCGAAGACAAAGCAGCCAGTGTAAGAATTTGGCGCAGGAAATTCAATGCCTGGTGCCTGCTACAGCGAAAATGGAGGGACGCCAGCAAAAGCCCAACGACTCCAGAGCACTGGGTCCCAGAAAAGGCTCAATCCGAAATAGCGGCTTTCTTTCTCGCCCTCCCGGATGATGTCTTGGAAATTTTTGATACCACAATCCTTCCGAAAATGACAACAGAAGAGAAAAAACAGCCATGGACATATCAGCAGCGTTTAGAGGGTCATTTTGTCGGTCAAGACAACGTCATGCCCCAACGACTAGCTTTCTTCAATTGCACACAAAAACCTAACGAATCCGTCACAGATTTTGAAACCCGAATCAGAAGCATTGCCCAAAAATCCAAATATTCCGAGATGACAGACCCCCTCCAGGAGCTCATGCGCGACCGCTTATGCACAGGAGTCCACAACAAAGACCTTAGAGAACTACTCCTTCATCACTACAAGGAAGACGGGAAAACACCCTACACATTCGATGAACAACTTGCTCGTGCAAAGTCCTGGGAAGCAGCTCACAACACCAACCTAGCCATTATGCACTCTACCAACCCGAACCTCGAAGAGCAAGTCAATCAATTGGCAACGAA